ATGTTGTATTGGTATCATTAAGACAAACAATTTTTATGTATGGAGGCGAAAAATGATTGTTCATAGCCTGAAGGAGAACTGCTGCAGTAGTGATAAAAATTGTTCAGAGAAGGAAAAGGAGAAAAGTATAAACGCAAAACTATATTTCATAATTATTAGTGTAACACCTCGAAATTTGAAATAGCTAGAAAGAAGTTTAAAATCTGGAAATAGTCATTTTTGGAAAGTATAAGAAAATTTGAAATTTTTTAAGTTAAAGTGAGTTTTGGTCAACTTCAAACGACTATAACTCATATCTCAAGATGAGTTACGTATAGTTCCAGATATGGTTGGAAAGCTCTTGGAATGATCTTTCCAACGCCGCCGAGTTTGTGCGATTCTGAGTTCGTATGAGTAAGTTATTCCCTTTGGAAGTTGGGTTGTTGGATTAAGGAAAGTCCAAATCAGGATTTGTGAAGGGTTAACTAGTCTTTTCCTTACCTAATTTGCCTGTTTCGTTTTTAGGGATTAATTGGGGTTAAAACAAGACTTTATTCAGTTTAGAAAAATTAAAATTGACGCTAGGGCTTGAAAAGGAGAAGAAAGAAGAGAAAAGAGGAGAGAAATCAAGAAATCACCAAGAACGTTCAAGTTTTGTGAGTGAAATTCGTCGGGGGTGATCCCTACAAGGTATGTGAGATCACATAGTGTTGGGTTAGTTCACCCACACGCCAAACTTGTTTCAATTCAACAAAAAATGGAGTTGATTGAATGTTGAGAAAGTGAAGTTCTTGAAGAACATTGTTGAATTATTGTTGGTTGATTGTTGAATGCCTAGTGTTGATTTAATTCGTGTTTCCGAGTTGTTTTTCGAGTTAAATTTATTGGATATTGAGGGTACTAATGATCCTAAGTATTTGGGGAAAGAACTATGGAGGTTTAGAGGGTTTAGAGATGAAAAACGAAGGAGAAAAGTCGAAATTTTCTGGGGAAAAGGATGGGGCGCCGCGCCAGCGCCCCAAAAGAGTCTTTGAAGTTTACCCCTTGGGGCGCCGCACCAGCCAGCGTGCCCCAACTTATCCTCTGAAGTTTGGGGCCTTGCGCCCCACGCCCAGTGGCGGAGCCAGGATGTTCGCTAAGGGGGTTCGAAGTATAAAGTAATAAATACGTGAGATGGGAAGAAAAATATTAATCTTAACTCGCTAAATTTAACTTGTCTTGTTATGCCGCGTTTAGGTTCTTCTTACTTTTTACCCTGCTCCATCGAGTTTTTTTTTCAAATTCTTGTGCTCTTTTTTTCTTTAAGTTTTGTCATGTTTTATTTTATTTTGATTTCTGAATTAGTGCCCTTTCAATCTATGTTACTATAAAAATCACCAAGATTTTTTAAAGGGGTAAAAATTGACATATTTAGAAAATAAATAAATGACATCATCTTTTTTTTTAGTTCAATTAATTCAATTTACTAGGTTAGTCATTTGTAAAAAAACAAATGATCAATAAATCAAATAAGATTAGTTTAATTTTCATCTCCTTAGAATAAAATTGAAAAAAAATACAATGAAATTAAAGAAAAAAATTTAAATTAAATAGATTTTGTTTAAAAAACTATTCACAATTTTAATATTTCTTCGTTCGGTTAAATTTAATTTACTTTATTATATATAAATATTTTTTCTAACTCAATTTAAAATTTAATAAAAATTTATCGTTTCTTCAACTTAGTACACATAAAGAGAACTATGTAGAAACAAAATGAAAAATATAAATAAGAAGAATCTAAAAGAAAAATTTACAAAGAATGTGGCTAATAAATTTAAACAAAGACAGATTGAAAAAAAAAAATAGCATAAAAAGAAAATAATGAAAAATAAAAAGGATAAAAAGGGATAAAGCTTCACATTGAACCAATGAGGCATTTTCATTTGTTTGGGAATCTGGGCCCAAAACTTCTCAACCCTTTTAAAGCATAGAAAAAAGATGAAAAAAACAATTGCGCCTGATGACATTCGAACTCAGCCCTTTCAGGCGGAACTTGAACCCCTTGACCATTCCGCTATCCTTCTCTTTAGTGTTGAGGGGGTTCATTTTAATTAATATACCCATAAAATTAGAATTTGACCTTACATATACAGTGTAATGTTTCCGCGAGGGGGGTCACCACGTAGCTCTGCCCCTGCCCACGCCTCTCAGAGCGCCAAGGACGCCAGTTCACCCTATTCTTCCCCCATCTTTTCGTACTAGTTTCTAAGTGATGTACCTATGTTTTGTAGTTGAATTCTAACACTCTAAGGTACATCTAAATATCATGAAATCATCCATAAACATGAGATCATAAACCTTGAATCCATAATCCAATTCAAGGAAAGTTAAGATCAAAGTCAAAGAAGTTAAGAGTCAAGTCTAGAAGTTAAGAAGCAAGTCAAAGCAAAGTTTCTTAAAGTTTTCAAGAGTCTTTAACAATGTTTTAAATTCATTTTAAGACTCAAGTTTTCAAGTTAAGCAAAGAGTAAAGAGTTGAGTTTATTTCTCAAAAAACTATTAGGGAACTAAGTATTCCCAAAGAAGTTTATAAATGTTTTCACATTTGAGAAAGAAAGGGAAACAACAATTCCAAGAGAGCTTTTAAGCTAAGTTTTGAGTAATTATCTCAAACCAAAGAAAGAAGTTTGTTTTTAAAACATATGAGCTAAGTATATTTTTGGGAGTAGTATTGAGCACCGATATGAGGATGCGAGTTCATATTAACTCAAGTCTCCATAAACCATGTAGCCATCATGGGTATTAATGGGTCATACTTTTTAGATGATCATATAAGTTAAGCTAGTGGATCCACTAAGTTAAAGCGTTCTATATGACGGCAAAGTATAGGACAATTCTGGCAGCGTGGACAAGACGCTGTATCACCACTTAGGCTCATAGTGGTGGTTGTCGGTTAGAGAATCTCCCACAGAAACTATATTATGTTATTATATGAGTAAAGTTGAGTTTGTTACTACATTTCCTTTAACGAACTAAGTTGCTTTTACTGTTTTATAAAGCTTTTTCATATATTGCATGTGTTCATTGCTTTATTCTGAGTTAAGTTATTCATGAGTTGAGAAGAGCCAAGGTAAGTGTTTCTTTCAAAATCTTTTCAAGCCTTTGTATTGTTTAGCATTCCAACTCGCATACTCGTACATACTGATACCAGTTGGCCTACATCGTCTTATGATGCAGACACAGGTAACCAGGATCAGCATCCAGCGCCTCGTTGATCCAGCTTGAGCACTCAGAGTCTGTGGTGAGCCTCCTTGCATTCAGAGGACTCCTTTATTTGCTTTCTAGTCTTTCAGATGTTAGGATGATCGGGGGTCCTATCCCGACACCCCTCTTTGTTTTAGAGGTTTCATAGACAATCAGTTATTAGTTCTTTAGTCTTCTCATTTTATCTTATGTTAAGACTTGGGTTGCCATTTTGGCCAAGTTGAATGTTTAATTCTTCTAGCATTCTAAGTTATATTATTAAGCTATTTGAGTAAGTTCAATTGATCATGTAATCATGTTTAGAGTCTTCCGCTGAGTTAAGTAAGCCAGGCCAAGGGTTCGCTTGGGGTCAGCAATGGTTCTCGAGTGCCAGTCCCGCCTAGGGTGTAGACTCAGGGCGTGACAATTATTTTCAAAGACAAATTATATTTATATTTTTATAGTACCCCTATACTTAAAAAGAAATACTTAGTACCTATAGGGAATCAAATATTATCATGAGCATACTTACAAAGCACCACATATCATTCATGCTAAAAGCATAAAATGAAACATATTCAATATCACTTACACTTGGTAAAAAGAAGAGCATGGAAGCATCACATAACTCTATACAATCTAGACAAATCTATACAAGATTTAGAAAAGGCATTTTTATCTGTAAGCCTAAGATCAATAAAATTGATTGTAGCCATCCACGAGATAAAAATGATAAGAATAGAAGAATATTTTGAATACAAAAATGCAAAAGGCATATTAAAAAGAAATGTTCTTTATACAACATAAAAAATGCTTACATATTTAAATTCCGCATACCATGTATTTATAGAATACATCACAGCCCCTTTATATATATATATATATACTAGAGACGTGATGGCCCGTGCTTAGCACGGGCCCAACACTCCCACAGTTATGACATAAAATTGAAAATCATATATATTTGACCATATCAAAATGCTTGAGGCTTCTGGTTAACTATTATAACTTACACTGAATACCTAGCTATAAACTAAAACAACACTCCTTGCAAATGACAACTGTTACTCAAACAATAAAGCATTTTAAATCCATCCATATACAAATTTACCAGGAAGCTATTGTTACATGTGAAAAATATCTTCTGTGTACATCATTGCGCTTAATAAGATAGTTATTTATACGACATGAAAAAAATACAAATAAATAGAAATATACCATTAAACATATCAAATGTATGTATCTTTGAACGTGTCTTGATTTATCATTTCAGTAAGAAAGAGCTACACTCTACAGCTTGGAAGCCATCCTTGGCTATTCCAAAAATCATATAGCTTTAAAAAGCTAGTAAAAAAACAATTAGCTGAGAAAACATGAAATAAAGAGGTCTGCAAAAATAAAACTAGAAAGCTATAAAATAAAACGTTGCATTTGTACATACTCCATAAACTCTTATGCAAAAAAAGTTTGGCAGATGTACATATTCCATAAACTCTTGTGCAAAAAAAGTTAAAAGTTGCAAGACACTTGTAACATTCCATTACTACAGAAAGATTAAAAAGACAAAATAACCACACCATAATAGAGCAACAGAACACTAATAGGCTTATGGAAATCTTTTGTATCATCAGTGATTTTTTATAATAATACCCTCAAATTTATCAGTGTATTATTTAATTAAAAGAACTAAAATAACGAATCAACATTAATGGTGCTGAACGAAATCAAGTTAATATAATAGACTATATTATATACACCCATGTTAATTGATGTCATAGCATAATACTACTAAGAAATGAACTGAAATTTCTTATGATTTATCAAGGAACTGAAGTAGATCATCATTCAAATACACCAACTATCAAGCAGCCCATGCATCTGAATGACAACAGAATGGTATTGTCTCCCCCTTAGGGGTAAGGGAGAAGGTGAAAAGATAATGCGAGAAATTAAATTCAACGTTATTTATCATGTCTAAATGCTGTTGAGTTCTCTCACTATGAATGAAGAGGCAATATTTTTACTCGATCTGCTGTTGAGTTCTCTCAATCTCATCACAGCCTAGTAACTGATGAAGGTAGTAGTCAGCTTGCAGGGTCTATTTATATGACCCTCACAGGATGTCTATTGAAAATATTAGAAAGGAAATAAAAACATATTAAATGAGAAATGATGACTCTATATATCACCAGGATTATCCTAGAATATAGGTGAGTGAGTATAATTTTTTTATCGGAAAAGGCTCAAAAATACCCCTAAACTATCCTAAATAGCTCATATTTACCCTTAAATTATATTCCGGCTCAAAACTACCCTTCCTGTCATACTATTGGGTCAAAAGTACCCTTCTTATTAACTGAAGCTGTTAAATGCCATGTGGATGCCACATGACATGCCACGTAAGCGCCACAATTTCATTCATTTCCACATAGACTAATATTCCTAATCCCTATTTTTCCCCCTCATTTCTCCATTTCCATTTGAAACCATTTCACCCACCCCTTTCCCCTCATTTCTCCATTTCCCTTAGAAACGATTTCATCCATTTCCCTAATTTTCCACTCATTTCTCCATTTCCCTTAGATGAATTAAAACTTATCTGAAATCATTCATGTCAGAGAGTCCTAAGTAGAATTAGTTAACTCTGTAAAGGGAAAAGAAATAAGTCAGTTTTCAGTGTGCATTGTTCTTATACTGTGAATGCATAGATGATGGCAGAATTTCAACTAAAAATGGAAGTAACACCTAGAAATTTAATGCCTCACTTGACTTGTAGGAAGCTTGTTTATTACTTCTCAGAAAAAAAATTAAAATATGAAGCTTGTTTGTAGTGACAAAACTGCTAAGAATTATGAACTCACAGGTGTCTTAGTATTTGGTTTAGGTACTTGTATTCCTTTTCTTTTTGCTAACTTCACTATATTTGAGGAATTTGCATGATTTACCCTCTACCTAGCTAGTTAATTACAACCATTCTAGACAGTTACATCAGTGTAAATGAATGATCCAGTAACATTATTCACCATAGTTTGGAAGCTAAAGTTTGAAAAACAAACAGTGGCCACTACTAAATCCACTAAGCCATGAAATTGAACATGTGAACAAAAATAAGCTAAAACTAAGACAATGTTGTTGCAATGAGTGGAAAATTAGGGAAATGGATGAAATCGTTTCTAAGGGAAATGGAGAAATGAGGGGAAAAATTAGGGATGCCATGTGGCATCCACTTGGCATTTAACAACTTCAGTTAATAAGAAGGGTACTTTTGACCCAATAGTATGACGGGAAGGGTAGTTTTGAACCGGAATATAGTTTAAGGGTAAATATGAGCTATTTCGGATAGTTTAGGGGGTATTTTTGAGCCTTTTCCCTTTTTTTATTTACGAAAAAGCACAAAAAAGAAAAGAAACTTAAAACTCCTTTTGAATTTAAGAAGTTCCTAGCTCCCCTTCGATCATTTTTAAACTATTATATCATAACAACAATCTTCTGCTCAAGGAATAACTCGTGTAAATATAGTATATTAATGTGTCATTGTAGAAATTTGTATTACTAAAAAGAATATAGAATACTGTATACCTCGTGTCATGGAGATCATTTCCTGGGTTATAACTTATAAGCCCAAAGAGTCATTAGAGTCTGTTTATAATATGCATCATCCTTCAATCTGTCTTCAATCAGGAACAAAATTAGAGTCAACTATATAAATCATTTGTAACTATTCTCTTTTTACCCCAACATTGCTTTGCTTATAAATATTTTTCATTTTATTGCAAGCCAAGGCTCTTTGTCAAAGAGCCAAAATGGATGCATATCACTTAAATTTTCATGCGGTGCACAAGCATTAACTATCGGCCTAAAGTTATTATCAGTATAGACTGACCAAACAAAGACACTTAACTTATCTATGTTTGAATGCAAAGGAACAACCTTCAAGGTACAATTTTTTTAAAGTAAGAACGGGAAGAAATAGGATAATGTCAATCAGTTAAATGAATATTGCTGCATTTTTCTACATAAAATGACCGTAGCCTACTCGTAAATAAAATGATAAATACAACAATATATCCATTGTAATTCCTTAAGTGGGCTATGAGGTGTTGTAATTAATTATTATAAAACCCAATTACTCCAATACAAAATAGTGACAGCTAAAATCATTATTATAAAAGCAATTGCAAACATCATGAACCCAACGATTAAAGATCTCTTCTCATAGTTATAAGTACAACAAAAGTGGTCGATCAAAACACAAGCACATCAAACAGCATAGTAAGTACTTTAGTAGCTTCCTTAGCTGGTGCAAGACCCATAATGGAGACACCAATACAGAGGTTCTTTTACCAAATTCAAAAGTGCTAACAGTAGAACATGAATTATGTACTAACAACAAACATGCTCACTTATTTTAGTTCTCATATCCAAATGAACATTGAATTCACGTGACAAAGAAAAAGAAGAAAACCACACAATCAAAATGACATTGTATCACGATCATAACGTTACATAGAGTCTCTAAATAGTAGTCATTTCATGATTCTCAACAGGCATATTGAGATGAATCGTCAAATACAAATTTAAATTGATGTAAATATCTACTAAAATTCATTAATCTCATGTAATTAAAGTCGAAGTCATTTCAAGTATAGTTTTTTCTTATTTGTCAAACATAACAAAATTTTACAATTTATACAAGATTAAAGAGAAAACTCCTCTGAAACACTATTGTGCACAAGCGCTCAAATTCCGCCTAAACAACGCATAGAACAAAGTTTCACTAGCCAACCAACGCACGACTAGGAATGAAACCCTATTGACAGTGTCTACAAGTCCAAAAATTGGACAAACTTTGGGGAATCCACATGATTTGAATTACTAATAAATATCTCAAATTCATCTTACAATTGAATTGAACTATAGTCTCATTGAATTGAACAACAGTCACAGTCGTTATTTGTCATTGTATATCTTTTATCTTCATGTGATATTTATTTTCTTCAAAACTTCATCGTAAGGAGATCGAGTTTCACGTTCTAACCATCGATTTACCTTAAATGAATTTCGTTTTGAGTGAGTGATTTCTCAATTTAACTGGAACGTCAGAGAAATTTTAAATCTAAAATTTGGGGCAATTTTGTCACGATTCAAGTCTGCACCCCCAGCCAAGACTCGGTACCTGAAACCACGAGTTACCCTCGGCTAACCCTTGGCATACATATCAAAGCATAATATAAAGAACTAAGTGGAAGCTAAAATGCATGACTGAATAATAGAATTTAGAAAAATAATCCGTGAAACCACATTTCTATTGTCTAGAATTAGCCTCTACTAGTTCGATTGAAAACATAAGTCTACCAGGATATGAGCCCCAGCTACCTCAAAACCAAAGACAACATGAAGGAAAGTCTATTAACTTAAATTAATGGAGTACCCAAATGAGGAGGGTTCACCAAGTGCTAACTAGAAATGCTGCAACCATACTAGCCACATGTCTGAGTACGAACGCCAGAATCTACATCATAAAAGGATGCAACGTAAAAAAAAGTATGCATTGACCAATACATGGAATGTACTGAATATGTAAGGACACCAACATACTCATATAAAGTAACATAAGGAAGAAACAATGGAATAAAGTTCTAAAAAGTAGAGTCATAATTGTAATAAAGGCATTGGAAAGAAGCAATTGAAACCCATGCATAAATATCCGTTTTAAGACCTTTTTCAAAAGACACATAAAGCTGAGTTTAAATCAGTAGCCTTGCATAATTATAACGTAAAATAACATACTTAATATAACTCACATGAAGTTAAGGGAATATCATAAAAGGTGCATAAATTGGGGAGTTTCTTATAACCGACATACACCATGTAAGCTCATGATGTCCAATAGCTAATCCAGTAAAGAGGGTTGCCCTATACCTTTCCAGAGTATAAGACCATATCATATATATCCATATGGATCCACTAATCTAAGCCTCTCAGGGCCAGAAGGTTAACCGACAAAGTGGTGAAACATAATCCTACGTTGACGTGTGGTTATGGGATTTAAGTTTTCTAAACTCGCGTCCTCTCGGACTCAGAGGCATATCCAGAATTTATAGATGATGGGTGCACTATTACAAAAAGGTGGATCTAAGACATAAATTTGATCGGTTAGATTCTTTTTACTGAAAACCATTAAAATTTAAAAATCATAGGTCCAAAATTAACTTTTATTTATCCAAATCAGTTACAAAATCTTAGAAAGAAAACTAAAACAAGATAGATAAAAGATTCAAATTTCTAGCCTCACCTAGAGAGGTGCACAATCATCATCGTACTACATTATATGATACTTCGAGTTTGGGTTCACGCATCTATATTTAAATATCTTAAAAAAATATAACACTACTATATATGATTTCGGGAGGGGACCATGGGTTCACGTGAACCCGGTGACCCCCTCCTGTATACGCCCCTGCTCTCGGTACTAAATAGTCACCCCAAAGCAACATATATTCATATAATGTTCATAGGTATGAAAACCATTTATCATCTTAATTCATTTATGAGGCTCAATTCAAAAGTCATATCTTAAAATAACCTATATTTAGGTTGTAATTCACATCAAGCTTACAATTCATAAGGGTTTGAATGACCATAAAAATCCTTCTAAATCACTAACATAAGGTTTCAAAACCAAAGTGTAACAAGGAAAACATAGCTTATTGAAGAAAGATCATGATTTCATAAAAGTCCTAGTTTTACTTCTAACAATTTTTTGAAATTCTTGAGAATTAAAATACTTGAGGCATGAGAGCGAAATGAATGCTCTAATTAAAGTCTTACGTACCTGAGAAAATGAGACTTAGAAGAAAGAACTCATTTTGATGTCTTAGAACCTTATAGCTTGAACCTGAAAAATCCTTCTATATATGATTTTCTTGGAGATGAAGTGTGGAGAAGAAATCTTGGATTGAAACCCTTAGAATACTTGAAGAGAATCTTGAACTTCGAGCCTTTAATTTAGATCTTGCGAAATTGGAGAAATCACTTTCTTGGAGTTCTTAATTTTTGGAAGAAGGAAAATTAAGAATTTCGAGAGTTTCTATATAAATAGTGATGTTATTAGGTTATAAGATGAACTTAGGAAAGTTAATTGAAAGTAAAAGTTCAAGAATATCCTTCTAGGAAAGTAAGAAGACCCTAAAAATATAAAAAATGACCTTTAATTTTAATGAAGTCTGTCAGTCCAATCGACGATTTGGAGTTTCCCTTGCTGAAATATTCGGTAGATCACCAAATGGGCTCTAGATCACTAAAATATTCAGAGCTTGAAGGTTTTTAGGATATTTTGACAAAGTAATTCGGCGATTCACCAAACCATTCGACGAGTCGCCAAATGGATAGGTGTTCTCGCTGAATTTTTCAGTGCGTACATGTTCAAATAGAACAACAATAACCTTTTACTCCAAACTTATTGTAACATCTTGCAACTTGAAATAGCTAGAAAGAAGCCAAGAACTTGAAATAAACTTTTTTGGAAAGTATAAGGAAATCTGGAAATTTTTAAGTAATGTAAAGTTGAGATTTTGGTCAACTTCAATCGACCATAACTCCTAGATCAGGATGTGTTAGGTGTATTTCCAGATATGTTTGGAAAGATCTTGGATTTATCTTTCCAACGCCGCCGAGTTTGCATGATTCTGAGTTCGTATGAGTGAGTTACGTCCTTTGTGAGTTGGGTTGTTCGAATGAAGAAATGCCCAATCCGGAATTTAAAA